CTTGACGCATTCTAAAAATTTTTACAGTGTTGGCGTGTGAGGCAATAAGCTCTTTAACTGAAGCCATTCAATCGTTACTTTAATAAGTGTTGCAAGGACCCTTTAAAGCAAACCACTTAAACCCCCGCTCACTTGACAGCAAACTTGGGTTACCTTTTAATTTTCTCATGTTCAGAAGTACAATTATCTTTTTGTACTGGCCCCGCCACGGTGGTCTAGTGGATAAGGTACTCGGCTGCTGACCCCCAGGTCGCGGGTCCGTAACCCGGCCGCAGCGGCTGCATTTCCGATGGAGGCGGAAGTGTTGTAGGCCCGTGTGCTCAGATTTTGGTGCACGTTAAAGAGCCCCAGGCGGTCGAAACTTCCGGAGCCCTCTACTACGGCGTCTCTCATAATCATATGGTGGTTTTGGGACGTTAAACCCCATATATCAATCAATCCCTTTGTACTGACCACTTCTATTGAATACAATGAAGTTTGGGGAAGTAATGGTCAGTTGTCTCTGAAAACATAACACTTCGCGAAATTTCATATATGAGGATTACTTGTATCTGCTCAACTAGTGGTACCGTATAAACTGAACTATAGGTCAAGTAGGAATATAGGTCGACCTCCCAAGTTTTGGTGACCAAAAAATAAAGAAAAAAAAGGAAAACCCAATAATGCCGAAAAAACATTTATTTGCGAATTGGGCCCACCACACCCCGATCATCGGAGCTCCCCTCAACCACCATCACAACTGTTCCTATTCGACAGACGAAGCACCACTGTCTTCTGAAGACAAGAGTTTGTCGCTGGCTGCCTCCCGTGTCCATCCAGCGAGTTGCTGATGCATTATTCCCTGAAACCATTTTCCACCATAGAATTTGGCAAGGAACGCCAGGCAGAAAGCACCCAGCCAAACAGTCGCAAGCAGAGGCCTCTGTAGGCGGCCCGTCAGCGTCTTTGAATTGTCGCCAGATATCCACTTTTGGTACTCCAGCCGTACTTGGTCCTTAACAGGCTTGTTTAGCACAGCGTTGAGCGGCTGGAAGGTAGACGTCATACCACCTGTCATCATGGCGAGGTTTGTTTTTCCATCGCCGAGTGCACGTTTCACAGCGTCGGTCAGGTGACCACAAAATGCATCCAACACCAGCATGCTGCAAGGACGCAGCAGTGCACCTGGCCGACGGTTCCAGACTACTCGTATCCATTCGAGCATCACAGGGCCTTGTCCATGTATCCCTTTTAGTTGACGCAAATGACAACACCGGGCAGGAACACTTCCTTCAGCATTGTCTTACATTTGAAAATAACAATAGGCGGAAGCTTTCTACCGTCTGCCGCGCATGCGTGCATGCCAGCATGACGGTGAAGCGCGAGTGCTTGTTGCCAGTGGACAACAGCTTTACATTCTTGGCGCTGCGCTGCGTAATCGTCGTCGACAAAGGCATGCCAAACCACATGGGGGTCTCATCAGCATAGTCAATCTGCCTCATCATGTAGTTGTTCTGCTCCCAAAGCCAGTTCATAAAGCGCTGAAAGTTTATAAGCTTGTCCTTGAACTCTTCCGGCAACTTCTGACAGATAGACGTGCCCAGCTGGAGAAAAAATCCCTTGCGCCTAATGAATCAACGTACCCTAGAGGTTGATGCATAAAACCCTTCTCTTGTGAGCCCAGCTTCTCGAGCAAAATCCACGGCTTTCTCACCAATGATATCCACGGTCACTAGCAGCGAGCGCGCACGAAATTACCACAAAAAGCCCGCTAGCTTATCCTCTAGCTGCAGATGAACCACACTTCGCCCACAAAACGACATTTTTCCGAGGATTGCAGATTTGCAGCTTCTCTTTCTGTGCTCTCGAATAGCGCACACTTTTTTCTAATACAGCAAAGCGGCGCTGAGCAGCCATGTTGCAGTTCACTTTTGTAAACTCAACAACATTTAGTTTAAACGCAGCCAACGCCTCCTAGAAAATTGACGCAGCTGAGAACTGCCTCTTTGTACCACTACTCATAATCAGTGAATGCAAAAAAGAAAAACACTAAAAATCAAACGCAACCTCTAGCGGAGCGAAAACTCGGAACAGATCGGAAGGAAATCATGAACACAAAGAAAACAGAGAGAGAAAAAAAGCCTGCTATTAGATTTGGATGTGAATACAGCTGTGCCCGGCTTCTCACGCACTTGCAAGCCACGTGTTGCCAGAGAGTGGCACACTGTCAGCTAGACATTGCTATATAAGACGAGGGGTGACTTTAGCTGGTTGTTTTACTGAAAGTATTTCGACTTATATGTATTCCGCTTTATATGGTATACTGAAAGTGATGCGACATCACAATATAGAAGAATGCAGCATGCTTAGATACAGTATACAAGTCTGCACCGCCAACTTGGCAGCCTAAAACTTCCGAGGAAAATTTTTTTGCAATGGAGAAGCAATCACGCTCGATGCCACAATGTGGTACACACGTCGTCTATGGCTTGTTTTGAACAGTTGCCATGGCACTCATAGAACTGGTATACATATACGGTGTTTCAGCTAAAAAGCACCAAGCAGTAAAAAGTTAAAAATGAGTGCTACGCATCTCCAGCTAGGGCAGTATTGTTCTTAGCTGTATGTAGCACGTTAGATTATTTTTTATTTGTCAAGTACGGTAAATAACAGATTTCTTAATGAACTTTTTAAATACTGACTCTAGAGAAAAAATTTCAATACAAGACTTGTAGCTCTTAATTGATTGATTGATTTGTGGGGTTTAACGTCCCAAAACCAACATATGATTATGAGAGACACCGTAGTGGAGGGCTCCGGAAATTTCGACCACCTGGGGTTCTTTAACGTGCGCCCAAATCTGAGCACACGGGCCTACAACATTTCCGCCTCCATCGGAAATGCAGCCGCCGCAGCCGGGAATCGAACCCGCGACCTGCGGGTCAGCAGCCGAGTACCTTAGCCACTAGACCACCGCGGCGGGGCTTGTAGCTCTTAATCAGAAAGAACAAAATTTTCAAGTTACGGCAAAATAACGCTGGTTGATTTTTTCAAGGGTTTGTTTAAAGTGTGCGAAATTCAAAAATACCACGTGATTGCTGCCTAACGTGTGGCGCTTTTAGTGCCCTCAAATGTAAGTTGAACGAATGATCGAAGGCTTCTCACACACAAAGGTTGCTTGAACAGGCCATCGGTCACTACGATGAACATTAAGCGATAGTTGGAAGGTAGCGTTCAAAAAAATTTTTTTTAAAGGAGGGGGGGGGGGAGAGAAATAAAGAAATGAGGACAATAAACTTCGACGAAAAAGCAGCCACCACGTGCAATGTGATACAAGACTAGAGGCAGCATCATGTTTATCATTGGCCCGAAAAAAAAAAAAAAACTGCGCTACGCCGCATGCTGCCTTTGGTCTCGTATTGCAATGCACGTGGCAGCCGCTTTTTCGTCTAAGTTTATTGTCTTAATTTCTTTCTTTCGCCCCCCCCCCCTTATTTTCTTTTAATGGTACCATCCAACCATGGCTTAATGTCCATCGTAGTCACCGATGCGGCCTTCGTGCGTGAGATGCCTTTGCTAATTCGTTCAACTTACATTTGAGGGCACTCAGGGCGCCGTGCGTTAGGCAGCTATCATGTGGTATTTTTTTAATTTCGCGCACTATAAACAAACCCTGTAAAAAAGTTAACCAGCATTATTATCTTACTGTAACATGAAAATTTTGTTATTTCTGAATAACAGCTACATGTCTTGTATTGAATTTTTTCTCTCTAGAGTCAGTATTTAAAAAGTTCAATAAGCAATCTTTGTTAATTACCGTGCTTGGCAGATCAAAAAATGCTCTGATGTGCTACCTACAGCTAAGAACAATACTGTGCTAGCTAGAGACACGTATCACTCATTTTTTTTTTATTGCTTGGTGCTTTTTAGCTGAAACACTCTGTATACTTATTTTATTTATTTAATTTATTTTATTTAGGAATACTGCAGAGTCGCTTGACTCCAAGCAGGAGTGGACAAAGAAAAAAAGTTCATTAAAAGAACACATCAACAAATAATTATCAACCAAAACATGAAATCAGCGCGCGAAAAACTGCAATTCAAAGAATGCAGCGATGCGAGTTGACTCCAAGCATTAGTGGACAAAAAAGAAAAAGTACATCAAAAGAACACATCAACGAATGATTAGCAACCGAAACATGAAACACCGCATAAAACATTGCTATTCAAAGAATACAGCGATGCGAGGACAACTTTACCCACGCTTTCTCCTCAAATGTGTAATAAACACTTCTACACTGGGGCTATCTACAACTTCTTTCGGCAGTTTGTTCTAGGAGCTTATGGTTCTCTGGAAAAAGGAATATTTGAATGCATCGTTCCAAGAGCTGTATTCCTGTATCATTTTCCCGTTATCAAAACGTGCACTTGTGCGCAGTGTGTAGTGTGTAATGTATTTCTGATTGTTGATTTGTATTACAATATTGTATAATAAATACAAGTATTTTAATCTATTTTTGGCACGTCTCGCTTTAAGTGTATCAAGGCCAACATAATTCAGCATTTCTGTCACACTATCGGTGTGTTTGTACTTGTTGCAGATGAATCTGTCAGCGGATCTTTAACTCTCTCTAGTTTATCAACATTTTTCTGTCCGTAAGGGTCCCATAGACATGAGGCATACTCCAGACATGGCCGAACTAGTGATTTATATGCTGCTAATTTAACACTCATAGAAGCTTTGGAAAGCTTGCGCCGAATACACCAGAGGGATTTAAAAGCCTTGGTGCAGATTGTACACACAATCTGCACCAAGGCAACTGCAGATATGCCAAGGCAAGCATATCTGCAGTTGCCTTGGTGCAGATACACCAAGGCAAGCAGCAGATATGCCTGCAGCTTTGTGTGTAGTTGCATTCATGCTTAAAAAATTACCCTAAAATGAGAAAAATATTCAATGATGTTACAAGCCTAGCTGTTTTCTGTGACAACAAATTACCCCAATGATGAAAATCAGTTACCGCAAGTCTTCAGGCTTCTTTACAGCCGTTTTAGAAGCATCATCCATATTGTGCCGAAACACTTTCCTGCAGGACATAAGAAATTACATTTCAGCTCAGCAGAAGTCTCAGCCACTTAGCAACAGGAAACACATGCTTTGAAGACATTTTTCATGGTGGAGAAACAGTAACAGGAGACAAACATATTCCAACTGTTAGGAAATACACAGCAGACAGATTTATTTGCATCGGATTTTAAGATCTATCTCAAGCACAGCATACTGCTGCATGTCCTTTGTTACTTTTTTTTTGTACACATCTGCTACTGCCTGTTATCAGTGCTATCAAGCTCTAACCTGTGCAAGATGTGCCTGTAGTACATAACCATTTATGCTCCTGTCATTCAGCCAGCAGCAAGACATATCCACCTTAATCAGATCACACATGCTGCAGGTGTAGTTGCACATTGAAGCATACGAACACCACCAGCCCCTTTTAAACATAGTACAGTCGACTCTCGTTAATAAAAAAGTTCGCAAGAACCATAAAAAACTTCAAATTAAATGCACTTCCAATTAAGCAAAATGCATAAAAAACAGCACTTTTATTGCTCCAAACTTGTCAGTTCCCTAAAAATGTAGTCCGTCATCTTTTTCTCTTGCTGAACCTGGCTGCAGCTAGCAAGTTTTCCAAGCACTACACATGTCAAAGTGCTTCTTCAGCATTGTCTTCAACAAAAAATAAAAACCGCTGCACAAGAGTAAGACTTCCAGCAACATCGGTAGCCCTTGGTAGCAGTTCGTTTCTGATTTGGTTTTCGTCGTCTACTACCCGAACCATCAGCACAATTTTGCCGTCTTTTAGTAGACCGTATGTATCGACACTGCTGTCCACAGCAACGCATTCTTCAAAACAGACGTCGCTAAAAGTGGCCCCAAAACTAATGTTGTCTATTTCACTTGTTTGCACTTGATGAAAGTCGAGAGAGTGTTAGGCTTAACGCTGTACTTAATCCATGTGATATTTTGGTTAGCACTGCCTCCCTGTCAATTTCTTTCAAGCCTTCGACTTTTGTCGCCAAGTCAAGTGTTCAGTAGAGGTCGCAAGTTGCCATTATTAAACGTCGGCCCCACAACACTCAGTGATCAGATGAGAAAACACATGCGGAATCAACCCAAAGTACGTTGGCAGGCTAGTTGGTTTACCATATTAAATTTGAACAGCATGGACGGAGCAGAACCAGCGCTGTCTGTGTCTTTATGTGTTCTTCTTTGTCCCCGTCTAGTCGCACTGCTCTAACAAAGTAGGAATCAACTGGCTGAAAGCCTCGACAAATCATAAAGGAAGACCTACTTAGCCGATGCGATCAATGCAATGCCCGGGCGATCACTAAATAAGATTGCCACTTCATGAGCTGTGGCACTGCGGGCAATGGCGATGACGACAACAGCATGGTGTGACCGCTGTCTTGGCGCATGACAAATTCCCCATTTTATTTAAAAACTACAGTCATCTAGAGGTTCTTGACTGAAGAATAACTTCTAATTAAGCAACGTTATGGGCTTTTAACCTTGAATTATCGAGCATTTTTTCCCTATAGGCCTCTATGCAAAACTGATGGGACCACTTGTTGACGTCTATTAAACAGAAAATTCCCATTAAGCAACTTCAAAATATTGGGAGTCAACTGTGCATACAACGATTTTGATACTATACCCAATGCAGTGAATACAACAGACATTCTGTTGATGCCAAAAATTTCAACCTCAAAAAAAGCAGTATAGTCTATGTTATTTCAGGGTTGTTAAGAGTCCACAAATGCACCTGCAGAGCTTGTGATGGCCATATATTTCAATATTACTCTCTGCTTTAACTTTTGTGGTAATTAGAGGAAACTACACACTGCATATCGAGTCAACCTGAAGCTTTCAACCAAATTTCTCTACCATCTCTGCTAACCAAAAGGCTTATCTGATAAGTACAACAAGAGTGGATCAATAAACAACTTGAAACTCATATATTTGAAGGTTTGTAAAAAAAAAAAATTTGTCGTTTACCTTAATTCTTCTCTTTTATGAACATTACTCAACCTTTCAGGTGTCTGTAAAGTGATTTCCCTAAATATGCTAGTTGCATCATAATGGCTTTGATGCCCATAATATTACTTTCATCACTGACAACAATCAAGTGGTACTTTGAACACCTTTTTCAAAAACCGCTCTACCTAGAGGTTGTTCTTTTTTTCATGCACTCTTCTCCCTTACATTCTGGATTTCGTACATGCATTGCATAACTTAGGCTATCCCTCTGGCTACTACTTCCTAAAAATCAGCATCCCGCCTCAAAAAGAAGGGCACCACAGGACACTTAAGAACCTCTTTGTAAGTGATAGAGAAATCAACAAATTAAATCATTTATGCCTCACCGTGCAGCCCGTGGCTTTTGGAACACTTCATGAAGCAGTGACATCAGCCCTTGCTGCATGTCTTTTTGGCCCACGTTGACAGTGTTCACATCTGTTAGTGTCAGCTGCTTCTTTCGGCCATGGATGAACTGTAGAAAGTATTGTTACTACAACTTTTCGTATAAGGTCTCACACCATGCACACCTATATGTAGCAGGAAACATTTCAAAAAGAACAGGTGCAAACTGTTCATGCTAAATAGGGGAATAAATGAATGTCACTTTACCTGGAGTGTTGAGAGACAGGAACGCACATCGTTTCCCGCCTTCTCACACAGTGCAGCCACAGCCGTCTGTTCCCCTTTCATTCGTTCCCTACGCATCACCTGCAGAGAACACAATACCATGCTTTAAAAACTCCAGCCTTCTTTACTTAGCAATGATTAATACAAGAAAAAGATTACAAATGAAAAAGCCGAATTAACAGTCTAGCCACTGTGTATGATACTGTGTGCTTCCACACATGCCTGCAGTGGACTAACAGCTTAATCTATACATTTGTTAACTACCATAACCACATACCCGTACAAAAAGTAAGATAAAGAGACAGTATGAATTTAAGTAAGTCACAATGTGATGTACAGAATGCATAATATGCTTTACATCGTGTCAGCCAAGGCACACAATTGTTACAACTTTGTTACATGGATGTTTGAAAATCAAGTATTCAGGGCTGAGTAGGTTGGCTCATGAATTCTCACTGTTCTTAATTTCCCTGGATCAAAATTAAACCGGAACAATATCAAAGAGCTCTGAACCAGAACTTTAACCAAACAACTCATATTTGTACGTATATATGCCACCCAAGTTATAACAAGCATTTGGCTAAATTCAGGCAATTGACTTGCACAGCTTTTAGACAAAATATCTCGTTAGCTGTGGTACTTACCAAAGACAATAGCAAGCAGTCACCATACAATACTTGAGCAGAATGAACACACAATATATACCACCGATTTTTGTTAATTAAACTCAGGTTAATTTGATGTCTTAGTTATTTCCACTTCCACCAAAGGTCTCGTCCAGTGCCCCATACACTTATAAGGCACAAAGCTTTCATTACAGTGATCGTGAAATTAGCATTCATCAGATAACTCCAACTTGGCCTGTCAGCTCACATGCATCCAAACTACGAGTGACTGAAGTAACAGTTGTATCACTAGCAATGCCAGACATCCAGGCAGTGAAGAAAAATATGTATGCATAGAGCGCATGTGAACCGTCATTGAAGCTGCCTATTCTGAATCTACCAAAAGAAGATTCTACAGTAAGAATGGTAGCTCACAATTAATTATTATATCATTTATCTGGTTGTCATGTTTGCCCCTATACTGAAAAGAATTCATCCAAGACTTCATTGGGTGACACAATCTGCTGTAAAACCAGATGCGCAATTGTGGTCAGAGCCAGCCTGGCCAGTGTCCTCACCATTGTTATCACAATAGCGCGACCACCATGGATGGCGAGTTCCCATGGCATAATGAAAATGACACAACAACACTTTCAGTCTAATTAGGAGCATACTCTCGAACAATGAGTCATTTTACTTGTTCAGCTAGTGGCAACAAGTCCCATTATGTGCTCCCAGCACTTGTTGAAGTGCTAGTGTCGCAGGACAAACTTGCGATATTGGTAGTCCTGTATCGGCCATCATACTGTTTCTGCTTGTTGAGATGTTTCATAAACACAGGACATCAGCAGTGTTATCACATCATCAAGCGTAAAGAAGACTACATACTTTGTTCTTCGTGCCAATATAGCAGAGCCTCAAATTAATGATGAATTTTTGCGTAAATAAAGTTTTAGCACATGCAGATAAAATTTGCTCGTTAATGCTTTTTCTTACAGCTAGAATCACAGATACACTGTTTTTCTTGCTGAAAAATAAGGTGCGCAGTTGGTTTCTATATAGTTTCAACAATTTGACACCATGTTGAAGTGAATAATTTTTTTTTTTAATCTTTGGATCCATGAAATGAGGCTGCATGTTTGATTGGGGACTGGTTACAATCAGATCAAACATTGCCAAAAGACTAAAAGACTTAGAGGTGTGTTTCGTGTTTTTATTCTGCTTTTTGCTTGATTCATTCGACCAAGTTTACAAAATTTCACTGGTCCCTTTCTGATTGAATTAATAGAAGTCTACGCCTATGTGAATATTAAACCAGTGCATCTTTCTCATTTCCGACTAGCTTTTTCGCATTTTTAGCTGTATACAAGAAAGAAACCTGTAGCACACCAGCCAGCACACTTAACTTAAGTAGGATTAGCTTTTCTCCGCCACTTTCCTCAGAGAGAATACAATTTAGTTAATACCTCCAACAGTCGAGTGCACAGGCGATTCTTCTGCGTGGATGGAAAGTGCACCATCAATGCAACTTGCCGCAATGGTCGAAGGGCTGGAACATACCTGCATAAAAATCAAGGTTTAGCAAAAGCACCATATCAATCATGTTGAATAATTTGTCCACAAAATGGGTCAGGTATGATGCAAGAAAAATAACACATTAATGCTCAATTCTTCTCCTCCCTGCTCATTTGTTTTAGCAGTAAATTTTTCTACATCGGTTGATACAACCTCGCTCAGTCCAACTTTTATTCACCTAATGAAGCCTGGGCCTTTGACTGCTTAAATTTTTTGCATATAAACCCATCTCCTGCGACCTTCAAGGGGCCCTGGGACCTTGAATCGTCGAATGCCGCAAATATTTTTAGAATCTGTCAAGTACAAGCGGAGTCACAGGATTTGTCGCAGCATCAAATGCTTTCTCTCTCCTTTTGTAAGCAAGCGTGTTGAAAGCTACACATGAATGGGGATGATGAGGAAGTAAGTAGATGCGCCCCTTCATCAGCATGTGTCATGACCTTGAGCACTTTCTTTTCTTCTTTTCTTTGAACGTACACCTTACATTTAGTGTGATTGTGAGCATGCGCATGGGCACATGGCGGCATCTCACGATGACCACAGTAACTATGTGGCTCGTGATTCTCAAATCAGCCAATGGCCACGGACTTTTCATTTATGGCAAGGTCGTTTGCGTTTATGCCATCATTTAACAAGGGAAGAGTGAGCGATTTCTAGCTGACTTTGGGAATTGAACGTAAGCAATCTTCGGCATCTTGCCAAAGCAATACTAAAGCAGCCGGCAGTGGTCAAAGCTTGTTTGCTCCCTGCTGAAGTAGAGTTCAACGTTGTCGTGCTAGCGACGGCACACCAACATCGAATATCACAAGCTTGGTCCTTGCCTGGGGCATACTTTTTTTTTCATTCAATTTTCTTTCTTCAAATTTACACTAGATAACATTCCCTATACTTTCCTTGGCATTACTGTATGTTAGTTCTCATTATTATTAGCAATTGCCCCTGGTGTGATGTGTGCAGACTGCTCACTGCAGGACATTTACACTTCAAAAATAGTAACTGTGCCATTTCAGCTACAGCAGTATTGAGTACAAACAAAAATGAAAACAGACATTCAAATCAGAAATTTAATAAAATCTTTTCTCATCAAGGCATCAAGCAAATGTCGGTCATAATGGCCTTCAGAGCTTCACAATATCGCCCAGTTGCCAAGCTGGCTTGCTCGACACAACTACTGTACCATCACTTCACGCTCTGGCAGTATGCTCATACAGCAGCTGCATTGGAACAGAGCAAGAACGTAAAAATGCCTGCGTAGTATTTTATATTGAATTCCTTTCAAAGAACCCGTAACATGAGCTAATCGACAGCTCTCCAGCCTATTTGGTAGCCCTGGCATTGCTCCAAGCTGATAAACCTAAATATTCACTCACTCACTCAATCAATCAATCATAGATTTGAAGTGATCATGTATCAATATATAGAATGCCATCAGTTGTACCACATATAATGCGTTAACTGCAATTTTAAATAAGCAAACTTTTCTTTCTGCAATCTAGTAAGTGAAGTCTGATAAGTACAATAGTATAATCATCTGACAAAGCCCTTGAGAAAAGCAGAACTAAAAGGAAAACTGAAAATTCAAGTTAACCAAGGAAGCATCTTTTTTCATGCTCACAGCTCATTGCAGATACAAATGATGGGTCGAAGAAGCAGAATTCCATCCTTCTTTTTCTTCTTTCCTGTAGCCTGGCCAGTGCTTTTGATCATGTTGACTAGCACGTTGATAGAAGCCTGGTATGAGTAACAAAAAAAGAAGTACAACACGAAATCAGTGCTTCTCCACTACAGTCTAACCCCTTTATAAGAGACACTGATATAAGAGGCAAATGGATATAAGAGACACCAGTGTGCCTATAGTAAAATACGGGTGATAAGAAAATGCCTACGTAGTGCCCTGTTTATAAGAGACATCTCATATAAGAGACAAGAATCGCCGCCCAGAGCATGCCTCTTATAAAGGGGTTTAACTATAGCCATAAAAAGCAATGTACATCCTCCATTGTGCAATCGTCAGTATCATGCAATTCACAATAATATGGCGCAATAAGCCACAATGGCCCGGTAAAACTGTAGCAAAGACAGGTATGTTTTAAAGGCACATGGAGTCCATCAAAGACTATCAGTGTGCGGTGAATTTAGAGTGACCACAGTCCAACAAAACTGTTGTGCTGGACTGGATCGATTATGTCGCCGTTAGGTGACTCAAGTTGCCTGTGATGGTGGACCGTGCCTTGAATTGCATGCGGGACGATTACACCCCCACCTCCACAAAAAAGGCATGCTTTAGTATCACAGAGCTCACATGATGCACCAGTAACAGAGAAAATAGCCAAGCTAGCCAGAATGCATTCAATTCGGTCAGAAATACATAACCAAAGAAGTTGCAAAGAGAAAAAATGACTTTCAGATCTGCAAAGCACTGTGACCTGCCAGTCTTGGTTTCATGCTTTTTTTTTCAAGGCCAATAAAAATGCCTTTATCACATAGCCGCTGGCCTATCTGTAGATACACCATAGGCACCTGTTGGAATAGCAACAAAAGCAACATGTCATCACCAGCCAGCTTTGCTTTCTTGAACAAACGTTGTGTCATTGTGAACTTGTTTACAGAGCAACACCAAAACACAGGACAGGGAAGAAGCAAAAGAGAAAGAAAAGACGGCACTGACTCACAAATGTTCTTAATTAGTAAACAAAAAGGTGAAACGTATATATAGGTACTGGCAGCTCACATCACGACATGCGCAGAACAAGAGCTGCACCAAGGCAGCGTTGTCACACTTATGCGATAATAAAGAGTGGCCTAAATACCTAAATTCTTTTACATGCAGTGTGACAAATTGTTCACTTACGCACATGCTACCCCTAATCTTTATATGATAGGCCTCAGCAATTTCTCTTGTTAGTTGCTTAGGATGCTTGAAGATGATGGTGGTTTTCTCAAAAATGGGACAACACTTACATGACGTGCAATGTTCCAGTAGATAAAGTCGTGCGACCCCTTGAAGAGATGACTCATGCTCTCTCATATGAACATTCAAACATCTTTTTGTTTGTCCCACGTACTCCCTATAACACGATAAGTGTGACGCACAAGTATCACAACGCTGCCTTGGCGCACCTCTTTTTCTACGCATGTCGTGATGTGAGCTGCCAGTACCTATATATATATATATATATATATATATATATATATATATATATATATATATATATATATATATATCACCTTTTTTTCCTATAAAGAACAGTTGTGAGTTACCGCCGTCTTTTCTTTTTCTTTTGCTCCTTCCCTATCCTGTGTTTCTGGTGTTGCCTAGTAAACAAGTTCACGATGAATCCCAACCAACTGGCCCAACTTACCGCCTTACTGAAACATTATGTCTTATGCCCAATTCCGCCAAAAGGGAAACTTTTGCATATTGTTCTTCACTATCACAGCAATTGCTAAAGCAGCTACAAGCAAGAAAAAGATTAGAACAGCATGGATACCTTGGCACCTCAAAGTAAAGGGCGATGGGTTTTTCTTTGAACTACAAGCAAGCCCGCAATTTTCTAGAAAAGTTAAGAGTTACTAGAGTTGCTTTGGTGCCACAGTCTATACAAAAAAAAAACATCAACTATCTATCACTCGTAAGCTGGCAGAATAGCCATACTGGCCGCCTCTATAGACAACAGTGTCAGCCAGACTTTCCGTTAGTGATTTGTTGAAAATTCTCAGTGCACACGCATATCAAATTCCTTAGTACCACCATGATCTTAATGGAAGTGGAAAGTTAAGGTATAAACCTACATTTAATTTAATTTGGTGAGGCAACTCAGTTTGTTTTTCCTGACCCAAATTTCAAATCAGAAAATGTTGCTGTTCCGAGGGTTCATATCAGCACTACCAAAATTACTTTGCAAAGAGTTTAGCATAGTCTCACAAGTAAACTGATGTAGAGTACAAAGGCAAAGCTTTTTCTTCCAGTCCACTTCTAAAGAAGCATGAACAAAATGTGCTTGACAGAGACGAAATGAAAATGTTTAGAAAGTTTTCATACGGTTTTTATGAAAGAACAAATCTACTACTCAGGCACTGCATCGTATATGCCATTACTTTTTAATACAGTGGTTGTATTTTCCACTCCAAGCCTGCAATATATGGCACCATCGCCGATATTGGGTATCATCATTAATGACAACTAATGCAAAAATGTAGCACTATACTTGTTCATTTCCGAGACATCTCCCAACAATTGTCAGAATGGCTTCGCTAGCAAACGTTTCAAGACCTGTGCTTAAATCTATGAAGCATTCTTTCTACAAAACTTTTATTGGGTGATTTTAGTATGATTAAAACAAAAATTTGCTCTTTAAGCGAACACCTCAGGTAGCACAGTGAAAATAGATTATTTGCCATAATAGACTACCGACTCGGCAAATTTAATGCACTTTAGTATGATGACATCATGTAAAAACTTGATCTAGATGAAAAACTAACTCTAGATGGTGCCATGCCACATGAAATAACAGAGAATGCCAAATGCCGCATATGCAGTGTCTTTCACTATTATGTAACTTTATATAGCAGGTTAAACAAAAATAAAAATATAAAGTAAAGATCAAACTAAACAGCCGTCACTTTAACCACATAGCCTGGTAATGGCTATGTTGTCAAGTTGAGCATGAGCTGGTGTAAAGCGTAAACAGCAATAAATATTTTCTTTATCAATATGTTAGAGCAGGTAACAAAGAAGTGATGCCTTAACAAGCACCCTTTTAGAATGAGAATTAGTAGGCAACCTCGCATGGAAAGAAATAACACATATTCCCACTGCTCAGCAGATGCCACTGGAGCCAGACATTTTTTCTACCCACATGTAAGCCAGAAAAATGACCACATAAACGTATCATTCCCATTTCAAGACAAAGAAACAACTAGTATGATCCAAATGATGGCAAAAAACACTATTCCTTTTCCCAACTCCACGGTCCTCCACGGCTGCAATGTATGGAAATGCTCGTCAACATGAACTTTTTTACTTCATAATTTTTGTAGAATAATGTACAAACTGCTATGTGAAGTGCAATCTTAGGCATTTCAATATAGCACAGTAAATGACGGCCAACTGTGTGCACCAGAATCATTGTGTTCAAGGCTTATGTGCAAGTTGCTCCAACATGTTACATTGTGCAAGTTTCTGTTCAATTTGAAATCACACTGCCTGCTTCAATTATAAACAGCATGCTCAATTTTAGTATGCTGGTCTGTTCATATTGATCAGTTCTGAACAGATGTTGGTTCTCTTAAATGTGTGCTTAGGAAAAATGTATGCTTAGGACTTTCCAAAACAAGTGTAATTCTATTACTCATAATAAACATAGGTGGTAAAACACAGCCTATAATATTTTTATAGTCAAAATAGTGTAAGCGAAATTCTGACAAAATATTTTTTTATGAAGCCAATAAACAATGATGCCTAGGAAAGCATAAGGGAGATAACAAAGAAAAATAAAATAAAATAGGGGAAAAATAGAACCAGACCCTGAAGCTAAACATCTTTCTCACTGGCTTAGCTACGTTATTCCTTTTTCATCTGGGCACAGTTTCTTTGTCCTCAGAGGCTGCTACCCATAAAGATAAAAAAAAACACATATCTACAACAGTTGCCCCACCATTCACACACTACAGTTTTGACTGAAAGCTAAACATTCTTACACAAATGCCTGTCCAGTTGAGTCAACTATTTACAGTTGAACCTCTTAATAAAAGATGTGCACCAGAGAGCAATTCTTGGGTCTTTTATGTGAGATGCCTCTTGCAAGCAAGGCACCACGCGTTTTTTTTTACATACACTTATTTTGAGACTGGCACACTGGTGCCTTTTATATCTGTGTGTTTCTTACATCAGTGCCTGTTATAAAGGGATTGAACTGTAGCACTTTGAAATGGCTCCAACCAAAATACGGGTTCGAGCCATTTGAAAAACCCAACTGTGATTCTGAGCATTCTTAAGGGGACACGGCCCTTGAAAACCGAAAAATGTCCAAAAAGTCCGTTTTTGAAAAACCATAATGTTGGGTTGTATGTCCTATAAATTACCTATTCTGTAAATATCAGCGCTTAATTCAACCTCAAAGTGCAAAAAATTGCTATTTTCGAGGCCGCCACAGTACCCAAAACACGCACAAAAGCCAAAATCAAACCAAACTTCGCACGCACATCGTTGGGCAATCCCGTGCCATCTTGGTTTTGTTTTGACCGTGAATTCTTTCTCTCTCGTTTGCCGCCTTTCAAATTGGTGTCACCAGTAGGTTGAGACGCTATTGGCGTTTCCCCGGGATGCGATGCGGAGCGCTGATTGGCTAGAGCAGCTCATTCATATCTCGCGGCGAAAGCGCGCTCGCCATTGGCTGCTGTGCTGGAAGTGGAGGCGGTCCCTCCCGGCAATAGCATGTCCAAGGCGCTCGTCTCGCTATTGCTCTCTGCTCCGTCCGCCTCGACAGACGTCTGCTAATGAGCCGCTTTTTGCGCAAGGCAATTTGTCTTTGATGCTGTACGTGATGCCGGCAACGAAGCCGAAGAGAATGCGTGCAAGTTGGAGCGCGGAAACACGTTATGTGGCTTCTACAAGAATCGAAACTACGCTTTTCTGCTGCAAGTGCCCAGTGCATAGATGCTTGCAGCGGCAAAACTGTGCTGTCGGCTGCCACCAGTCCAGAATCCGACACACCGTCTGTACCTGGAGCCATCAGTAATGCATTGAAGCTGCGAATGCATCGAACGTGTCCAAGATCGCCGGATCCAGCATGTGCTCTGAATCGGTGCTGTCCAGCATGACACCGAGTGTTGCTGAGATCGCCAGACCCAGCACTTTGTCTGCACCAGGGCCATCAAGCGTGCGTGGGCCGTCGACCCTTCATCTGCGGGCGCATTTCCTAACTAAGGAAGAAATCGATGCGAATGAGAGACGCCAAGACGCTGTTCGCGCTGAATACGAATCTACGCCAGCGATGCAGAAACAATTTGAACTGATGCAGCCACCTCTTAAGAGAGATCCCCTGCATCTGAAAAAAAATTCCGAATGGTACTTAGAGAAGATGGAGGGAAGACAAAAAAAGGAAAAGAGTGCACAAGAACACTTCAAGCTACTATGCTGGAGTCTTTTGAAGATAACACATGTGCTGAACTTTCAAAGCCCGTTTTCGCAAAATGGATTTTTTAGCTTAATGAGGTACTGAGGAAAGAGATTTTTGAAGAACTGCTTATCATCAGATTTGTGAGCCATTTTTTTTCTTTTTTATTCTGTTCCTGGATGCTATTGCTAGGGTGTAACAAGCTTTTTCTTTTGAAAATTGGTGCCATTAATTATTATTAAACAATTACTTTTTTTGCTAAATGTCACATTACTGGCTACATCAAATTCAAAGTTGCATAAAAATTTTTTTGGAGGGGAAATTGAAAAAAATACTTTTTAGGGCCCTAGAATACCTATTCAGAGATGACCACAAATAAATTCAGCCTTCTGGTATGTCCTGGGATTTTTTCCGGCTCTTCCTCAGGCACACAAGTGAACCACCCAGTTAGGCCTCAGTAACTTAGAACTGCTGAACACAATTTCACGAAACTTTGCAGTTTCTCTAGATTTAATGAAGTGAACATACTCCGAAAGCTTCATCAAAATATCTTCTAAAAAAAAAGTTCGGTTTCTGGGGTGGAGTTAGTATGAGGCACCACTTACCGGCGTGTTGCGTGTAGTGCAAATAATGCGGCTGATGCGGAGCGCGTAGCCAGCTCCCGTCCCGTCAACTAATGAAGATGATCGGTTCCGTGAAGGCAAACGCAGAAGATCCGAGCACGGGAAAGAAAGGAGACTTCTTTGTTCGCACGGTTCACGAGCAGAGCCGTCAAGGTCGCTCCCGTTCGGGATTAGAAGGGGAAGGCTTACTCGGAAAAGCGTCTGGCAAGAGGCAAGTCAGGCGCCACCGTCCGAGTTTAAGCCATTGGCATGCACGCGTGCCATTGAGAATGACGCGGGGATGCGACCACTTGGCTGACCGAGACATAGTGGCGGCAGGGAGACGACCATAACTTCCCCCACTGTGCTTCATTACCGAGTGCTGTTAGGATGTCGGGGCGCCTCGCTGTCGCATGCACACCTGGTAAGCGCACAAAGCCCAACGGTGTACCCACCGTTCTTAGGGAGGCTTCTACGAAGCAACAATTAATGAGAGAACTGACGGGGCTCGAGTCTGAGAACGGCTGCCAACGGAAGTCGGCCGACGGAGGCAGCATGGCCTGGCATGGGAGAGAGTGTCACACGTGCAGAACCTATCCCATTGAGTGTTTTATTTGGTAACGTGGTTTTAACCAATGTAGTACCTGTTATGAAGATGTTTCTGCGATTGGTTGTGATGATGCGAGTCCCAACATGTGATTGGTGTTTGTAAAGACTCTTTGTTCAACCGAGGGTTGAAAAGAGGATGTGTTAATCTGAAAGGAGAGCCGAGGTTCAGGCTTGGACTCGGGCAGTTGCCTGAGGCTGCAATAAAGCGTCTCTTCACCGGACTACGGCTTTTCCTTCGCGCTGCCACCGTGCACTCGAGTCATCGAGGGGACCCATTCCGAACCTCAAACATCTTCCGTCCTAAGCTAGTGTTGAAGCTAGTCGAGGAGGAGGAAATTAACTGGTGGCCTCCCCCCTTAGGCCGCTTTCCATTCACTACCTTTTCTCTTTCGATATTCAACAGTATGTTTTATCAAATACTTCGATGTAGTAATACCACAACTAGCTGTCTTGTCAACTATGCATTTACCTGACATGCAAATTTATGCCTGTACTGTTGATAAGTTTTGTATAATATTATAAATTAGTTTTACTATTGGCACATCCATTCTGTTACGTAAGTTCATTGTAACCAATGCCTCATACAGAAGGCTATAGATATTTGAATCAATATAAATTAGTTTTTGATGATAGTGAGAGGGAGAGAGACCCTTTATTAGAAAAATGAAGTTTTACAGATGTCTATGTAGCGAGTGACACAAACATTCCTCCATAATACTGACTTTTCCTTGTAGAGTGGTCCTTTTGTACTTTTTCTTGATTTTCAAAGAAACTCTGAACTAGGTAATGGCTTGTCACAAAGGCCAACACTATTCACATATACAAACCAAGCATTTAAAAGGAGCATCTTACCGCTGGTGCACCATCGATCTCATCAATGACAAGGCAGTTTGGTCGTGGGTCCTGCCCCAAGACGGCCTTCATCTGAGTGGCAGTCTCCAAAGTAGTCTTGAACACATCAGGGCTCCTGTCATCACTGTAAATCCGAGAGCATTATTATATTAAGCACAACACTCTAACCTTCCTTGCTAAGATGCAGGGGTGTAACAGCCGAAACAGAATTTGGAGCAATTTTCGAAGCAGCAAAAGTTTACTTTTGGAGCACTAAAATACAAATTTGGAGCAGGTTTCGGGGCAAAAAAACATCCATTTTTTATCACGAAAGACCAAGTTTGGAGCATTATAAAAAGAAAGCTTACATTTACAAAAAGACAAGTATGTACAAACTATTCAACATCACCTGAATAATGCAGAGTAAAGATGAGCACTGCTATTTCAATAAAAGCATTTTTAACCACATCACTGAGCAAAAAATGATAATGTCCATATTAGCATTCTCCGCATCTTTCAAATACTTTGACAGACTCAGTGAATTCAAATGTGGATCTGCCAAGGTGGCGACCTTGAAAATTAGGGGATTAGTGAAACTGAGGAGTAAAGGTGAAAGAAAAAAAAAACAGGCGCACATTTTTTTAAAGGCGCCAGCAATGTCACACTCTGCTCCAAACGGTTGCCCATAATATTTTCTCGGCAATCATACTAGTACTCACAGTTATGTAGCATATACACACATGACTAAATGAACAAAATGAGCTGCAGCTCGCGACTAGTGCTAATAGCCCCTTCTAAATCATAATACGCTTTTCTGCAAGACACTGGCGTACTGTGGCGAAGGTGACTTAAGAAGCATTCTGCACGGATTGGAGCAAGGTCATGAAATTTTCAAACACTGCTACCCCCCCCCCCCCCCCGATAGTGTTAGGTTAAGGCCGCAATTTCTCAGCTCACTTGCAAGACACGTTCTACCAAATAAAGTAACAACGGCATGCGCCCGCCAATCTGGCGACAGCACCGAATATTTATCGCCGGGACGATGCAACTAACGCAACCTAAAGACAGAAAAATGTTTTATGTGCCTCAGCTATTGCAACCGACGTGGACCAATTCATGAAACAGAAGGGCTTTGCGCTGAGGCAGTGTACTTCAGTCTTTCTGCAAATGCTGCATCAGTAATGCATTGAATGAAACGGAGGACAATGCACTCTGGCGTTACTAGTGAAAAACATTCAAGTTCTCGTGTTTGAATACATAAGATTAGTGTCAAATCAAAAGAAATGTCACCGCAGTGCAGCTGGTTGTGTCGTATGTTCACCAAAACAAGGGTGTGGCATGATACATTTTGATTTTTTTTTTTTCTTTTTAGGAGATTCGAAGTTTAGGGGGTCGACCTATATTTTGGTCCAACCTATATGCCAGCTTTTACGGCAGTCCTGCTGCAAGAGGCTCCAAATATGTAAATCCTGTTTCTATTAAAGTCTCCAGTAGCAGAAAAATTCTAAATTCTTCAAACATTAAACTGCAATTCTTGTTTACCGGTTATTCAAGGTGCAAGATCAATAGCAGCTACATAGATGAATAAGTCTCTAAGCTAGAAAATCTACTCAATAGACTCCACAATAGCACAATGAGAGAGTCCCTAAGTGAGGGTTTTTTTCTACCTCTGCTTTCTTTCTAATCCCTTTTTCCCCCACACCAGTGAAGGGTAGCAAACCAGATGTGAATATCTTAATTACCTCCCAGCCTTTCTCATCATCCCTCTAAAAAGCAATATTAAAGCTCTGATATGGCTAGGTGTTCTACACATTGTACTTATTTACTTGGTTAGTTAGTACACGATATATATCTAGTCGTGGCAAGGGAGGCTGTAAGGTATCACATATATACATGTTCCATTAACCAGACTTCCCAAAAGGTTAGTCTAGAAAGACTCAAAAGATGATAATCAGCAGACTGGTGTCTATCAAAAAACCATGCATGGCTCTAGTAAGCTTACAGCTGACCAACTTCCGAGAAGTATGCCAATTACTAAGTGTATAAGGCAATCAATGCATAATGCCTTCCTTGGAAACACTTCGCAGTGTCTTAATGTGCAAGCTTGACGACCCCTTTCCGCTTTGCATTGTTTAGCTTACAAGGAACAATCATACATCAGATCAAGAGACATGCACAACAATGAAATTATTAAGAACTAACTATACTGGGTCACATTCTAATAAAAAAAATTCACACCATCTTCCCAAAGGAAACCCTGATGGGATGCGAGGCAGCAGCATTGCCCACAGGTTGAACGACGCTAACGCAGGTGCTACGGTGAGTGCTGGAAGATTCGCGAGCGGCGGTCGCGGTAGTGGAGCGAGTGGTGGTAGCGGCAAGTGCTGTGGGCGAAGAGAAAAGGCGGCAGCTGGGGGCTCTGCAGCGAGTGCGCGGCACGCGAGGGAGAGAGTGACGCCCACGCGTACTGTGATGGAGAGCGTGACTCAACGCGCAGCTGCAGCGTGACCGACTTGGCACTGCTCCAACACCTGTGGTGAAGAGAGCGTGTCGCGAAACACTCGTACGGATCTACGGAGGAACAAAATTACACAAGATAGTCAAAAAGCTGCTTCACATCTGAAATGTCAGCTTTACCCACAATACTGCGGCGTGCCTGCCTTTCCCTTGTGAGAGACAGTCATGCTAGCTGAATTCTGCTCAAACTGCAAGTACAGTCAAATCCGGCTACAATGAAATTGACGGGATGTGTGAAAACTTTCTTGTCACGGAACTTTGTTGTGGGGAAATTTCATCTATAGACCACAAAATTTGGCAAGAGCTGATGATAACGACCCATCCTCTGGTCCGAGCAAGCGTACGCATTGAACTCAGACATAGTTGGCCAAACACTGAGTGAATGTGTTTTCTCGCGTATAATGCGGTCAAAATATACAGAACATTTGGAACTGAAGTTGGGGTGCGGGTTATACAACAATTTTGGTGTGCAAGTTGGCTTCACGGCACGGCTTCATGACATGCAAAGAACGCGGCCTTGCGTCAACAAGCGGGTAGTTTTTTTCTTGCTCCAATGGTTTGCGGTTAGGGGTGCCAGTTATATGAAGGAGTGGGTTATAAAGAAGCAAATACGATATTCAGACGACCCTTGGAGTTTGCCGAATGCACAGCGCCGCGAACAAACGTGCCAAAGCTCCGCTAGCGGTGACCTGATAACTGCAACCGAAAGTAACGAAGCTTCGCACTGACTGGCCATCGACTGGCCGTCAACTGGCCATATGTGAACGACAGCAAAGCCGTAACACATTGTGTCGTTTTATAGCTTTATTACCTTTATTCTACACCTGTGTTAGCTGCGCACCTTTGGATCGTATTCGCTACCGATAAACAAGATGATAGCGACCACGGTTTCTTGCACAGCGGTTGCGGCAAACAGTAGTTCCATTTTAAATCCATGCCCGCTGTGCTAGCCGTGTTCATGACATAAGAACTGCGTCGTTGCTATCTTTGTTCGCATCATTACGACAAAGAATATTGGGTTGAGTAAGTGTGCAAACTTTCGTGGTCACCCATGATCGCGCTCGACACAACCGCATGTGTGTTCGCAGCCGTTGCGGCAGAATGCAGTTACACTGGGACTAGGTGCACGCTGCTCGCGTATGCGCCTTCACGATCACACGGCTAGTGACGACGAGCTGCAGTTATGTTTTAAGCGCGACATCAAAAACATATGGCAGAGGTTCTTGAAGATCGCAATTCTGCCGCGGCCCGCACGTCCATCATATCTACCACCGGCAGCATCATGGTGGATGGGTGAACCATCACCGAGCATCTCAACGGCGCTAAATTTAGCGGGATGTGCGTGTGCTGGCAGAAAGCGTGTCTCCAATGAAGACACGACTGTTGCGATATGGCCGTGCTCTTTGGGTGTCAAGAGCCGTCGAGAAATGGCCGAGTTGGTAGTGCAATTTCGTGGCAATCCTAGGCAAGTTCCTTTTTATTATAGGGTAGTACTCGCGAAAACTTGGTTAAAGCAGAATTATCCAGGAAAAGTATTCGTTGTGACAAGACATTTTTCACATTGTTTTCTATGGGCGGCTGACGGGGAATAAAAAATTATTCGTTGTGGCAGAAATTTCATTGTAGCGAGATTCGGCTTTACTTTTTCTCAGTTCATGAAAAAACTACACATATTAACAGTTCAAGGTATTTCATTGCTTTATAAAACATCACAGTTGGCTCAGCAGCAATGTCGGAATCCCTCACGAAATTTTCCAGAAAGTTCAAGATTCTAAGCTAGAACCAGCAAGACAGACGCTTGTTTATAAGGGAATATGAACAATTCGAAACACGCCAGAAGTTCTTGATGTCAAGAAAATGAGCAAGCACTACTAGATGCAAATTTATGTAAGTTCACTGCTGAAGGGACAGCTATGACTATGGGTGGAGCTGACATTTTGTCTAAGGTTATCACTGAGTATAGAAAATTGAGTGACTCCAACCTTGCATTGAGCTCAACAACATTGTAGCCAGCATGCCTTGCGATGACGTGTGCCAGTGTTGTCTTTCCAAGCCCTGGTGGCCCATAAAGAAGAATAACCTGAAATATGTAAATAGTTAAAATCACAGTTGTGAACAATAATTAAAAAAGACATTCTTATGTGCATAGCCCTAGAATAACACGAAATAAATGAACTACAGTAGACTCACGATAATTCAAATTATGATAATTCATACGTTCAGTTGATTCAAACAAAACTGAATTTTTTTGGTGTGCCCTCTATCCTTTCAATGTATTTAAAATCCTCTTAATTCAAACTCCATCATTTGGTTAATTCATACTTTTTGCAGGTCCATACGAGAAAATATCAGCGGCTTTCCCACTACTATTTAAAAATTTTTGTGCCCATATAATCCTCACAGTCTAAAAATAAGCACCTGAGGCCTTCAAAAGAAAAGGCTCTGCAAGTAAACAAATGGTTGAAATGAAGTACACGCATGGGAAACTGTGATGCTTCTGAACTGGTATAGAGTCATTTGTGTTGAAGGCACATGCCTGTAGCAATGAAGCAGTTAGAAATTCACGATTTCTTTAAGAGGTTTGATCAGCAGTAAATGGCCAATAAACTTATGGACTTTACATGTCTGCTTTGTGTTAACTGTGTGAAGTTAGGGCTTAAAGACACTTGAAAAAATTTTAAGCGTGATAAAATCAATGCTGAATCATAACGTGTGGTGTTACCTCACTCAGAGTCATCTATATGAGTACTACTTATGATAATTCAAACAAAATCCAGAAATCCCTTTGAGTTTGAATTACCAAAAGTCGATTGTAGTAAAGCACAAGAGTAGCAGTACAATTTGTCATCAATACTGAAACTAAAAACATAAAAAAATGGCTAATCCCTCTTTCTATGAATCGGTATAACACGAAAGTGGTTAGACGCCCCACGATAAAACTTATCCTCCGTGTTTAGTTTTTTTTTCTTTGCAATCTATTAGTAAATATTTTATGTCATATCCGTGACAAAAATATGTCAGCTGAGGCATGGTGGACCCCGGCATAATATACTTTCACGTTAAAAGAAGAAAAATTACCAAAGTTCCACTCCATGTAAAATATCTAGAAAGCGCGCAACTGCAGTTCTTCCGTGTATCCCATGTGAACACATTTTTAGGGGCGAAGCTCCTTATGGTGTCACCCGTTCGTCTCCCATCATCGTTTGTAACCACCGCTTGTGGAGTCTCCAATCCAAACATAGATGACACTTTTTGTACTATATAACGAATGCATATATGCTGAGAAATGCAAAATCGTCCTTCACTAGAGGGCGTTTTGTGGCAAAATATAATAATAAAAGCTGAGTTTTATGAAAACAGGATTTACGTCACACGTACGGAAGGAGAGAGAGACGATCGCACCACTGCAATTGGGTGTTCATCCGTGGCACCGTGTGCCAGGGGGCGCTCTATACAGTAAAAGCACCGTTTTGGCGCACGCGCCAACAGACGTTCATCGATGGAGGATGGACAAGGCTGCCGAGCAGCGTGCGCGCAGGGCGATCTCCGGTGTGTCGTTTGACTACCCCGACCACAAGACGACCATCAGGGGGACGTGTATCGACGTCCTCTTCACCAACTGTCAAGATGTTCGACCATTGCAAGAACTGCTTTCGGTCCACTTTTCGGACCACAAAGCTGTGATAATGAAAGTGAAACACCAACCGGAATTACTAAACAACCTTTAAAATAAAATTGTTTCAGAATGACACGTTACTGACGAGTTTCATTGGGGTGTGTGGCGAGGTATGTTTAATACATAAGAGCTTTGCCCTCTCTCCATTATTCACCCCGTGAATATGCAGTCATTTTTTTTTTTTCATGTTTTGTGATCTTGTGTGGGTGTCTGTGATTATATTATTTGTAGAGTAGAGATAACATGATGGCACATTTATTGCACTACTTCTCCCCCACCATCCCATCACTACCCCCCCCCCCCCTTGGCACTATCACCTCAAGGTCTACTGAGAAGCGCTCAAGAAATCGCACTTACCAGTTTTATTGCGCGATTTGAGTGCGTGTCATAAAGCACGATTGCTCTCCTCAGTTGCAATTCTGCAACACACTGGAGTTGCAACTATGTAATTTTAACAGATATAGTGCATCCCTGCACCCCATGGCAAGAAGGGCATCTGATCCAAATGCCACTATTGGCTGGTTCCAGCTATCAAACGTTAGCAGCACTCTACTGTGTGATGAGACTGATGACACACCTGCTATATGACAAGCTTATGATGAGTGTCAGTATGGTCCTATGTATGAAGAGAGGGTGCCCAAGAAAGTGGCAACTTCACGCTCAGCTCGTGAAGTGTCCTTGCTGTCTACAATTGCAAGATCTGGTTGAGCTGTTCTTAGCAGAATCTGCTTCCCACAGATTGTGTTTTTTTTTTACCAAGTACAAGGGGTGGTTCAGGAGCCCTTTGAATAAAAAAAAAACAACTTGCTTTTTGCTGAGGTCTTTTATGTTCATCCAATTCCTGCAAGAAAAAGAGAAGCAAAACATGAACAGCAGTAGTATGGCAAGTCCTCCCATATGCAGTATGCTACACACAATACGTTAATGCAGTGACATTAAGCTTATATATACGTTGCATTCACCACAAAAGAGGTGATTAACACCAGTGGGTGACTCAACACAATGATATAAGCACAAAGGTACTACAAATAAAGTACAACTAAAGTTTAGTGAACAAAGGTGCTCACAATTGGTAAAATTGGGGAAAATGAAAAAACTACGGTCACCTAAATGCAGGGGGTCATCACTTAGTATTATGCAAAGATGGAAGAACTGTGAACGTAAAACTAAAGGAAAAAAATATTACACATAATCCCTTGTATCGCAGCCCACTTACTCACTTTAGTATGTCGCCCTTGATCACATAAACATGGTGGTGGGAGTGTTACAAGGAGCATGAATAAAGAAAAAAAGAAACAGACAGAGGGTCAGACGAACTGGGAATGGGCATCTGTTTGCTTTTTCTATTTCCTCTGTTCCTCTGCCTTTTTCCCTGCTGCTTGTAACTTTTCCACCTATGAATGCATATGAACTCGCCAAACTGTCAGCACTATTGAACCATGGTTAAAACGGAGACGGCTGGGATTTTTTTTTTTCCTTTTTTCCACATTGATATAGGAGCTCCCAACTAATAAACTAATACGTATATTCACCCCACAAAAACCATCAAAAGAAAGGGATCACAGGTATGCAAGGCTGCTCTGTAACATTAGTAATACAATATAACTCACTGGCATAGCAAAACCTGAGCATATTTCTTGCAAGCAACTGAAAGAAGAATAACTTGACCAACACTACATATTGTCAATGAGAGAGAAAAGTGAGAGAGTTCAAGAACTGAAGTATGAACCAAAAAGCAGTTTAGATTGACAGGCAAAAGAATACAGTGAGAAAGGAAAATGCATATTTTATGACTACTGCACAAACTGCTTGGATATGAATATTTAAAAGAAAGGGCAGAACTTGGAATTTCTCATGTGCCTCATGATTTCAAGAAACACATAAGAGCTCTGAGAAAAGTGATGTTTCAGGAGACCTTTGATAAGCTGCACACCTGGTGCACGTTGTCTTGGCCAAAGTGAAGTTTCACGATCATTTTATACAGCACTTGAGCAAGCGTCGCCCAGACTTGGAGCCATCAGTTGTGCAGTATCTCGGGCTTATGACATGGGCCTCAATGTAAATTAGCTAACTTATAAACAGTTCTTTCACATAGCATGCTAGTACGCGTAAATGGTAGTGAAAGCCATGATTATTAATTGTATATCGCTACATTCAAGCACAACCTTGACAGGAATAAACAGATAAAGATCATGTCACAATAAAACATGAAGTGTTATTGAAATACAGGACTATAGTGAAAAATAACAGTAATAAAGTACCAGTATTACCCCAATATTCAGAAAAGTGGGACTATAAAACAAAACATACAAGCTAATTAACATCAAACAAAACACCTGTCATGCCTAAATGAGAAAAGAAGTCCCGAAGTATGCACTTTGACTCACCTCCTTGACCTCTGGCATGTACCGCTTAGCAAAATTGCTCTGGTTATTGAAGGTCATCTGCTTCTGTTTGAGTGGCCTTACTTTTGGTGGCCGGCCAAACACAACAGTGTCCCACAGTTTCAGCCATTGCAGCAGTGTCCGGTTGACACCCTGTAAGCAAAATAAGTTTGCCTTTAGTAATGCTTTCATCGTGAAATTCCTAGTCTTTCAGAAAGCACTCCCTCACTGAATAAATTAGACTTTCAGCTTCAGTTTATTATTCATTCAAGACATAAAGGTTCCTGGTGAGTAACATGCAGACAAGGGTCCCAAAGTTGAGCGAGTGTAGCGGGACCCTTGTTCGGACTTTAGTGAATGTGTGGTGTTGTGTGACTGTACACTGTCTGGGATGACCACAGAGGAGGTTTGTGGCGAGCCAGTTTAAGCAACCATCCAGGGGCACATTTGTTGCTCAAAGGTAACATAAATGTAGCCGGCTACTCTGCCTCTAGCTTGCATCCAAGGACGATTTCTATCTCAGTTTACACAACAGTGAACAGAACGTTGCTGAAATGGCTGGAAGTTCAGCAAGCTCCTGCAATCTGTTGGCTTCGAGGTCTCGGTATGAGATTTCTTTTCGTTTGACAGAGTGCCTTATCACTTTGCTGGAAAAACTTGCGTGCATCTGTAATCTTAGTGGAAGCAGCAACGTAGACATCAGTTCTTGTAAGCTGGTACAAGAATGAGTCCAGCTCAATTCATGGCTCTGGGATGCCTGAACGGCACAGGTGGTTGCATACCCATGTAATCAAGCTAAAAATAGAAACGGTGGCCTCTGAGCATATTCCACCCCTTCTTCCTCAAGGTACGTCACAGGCAGCATGCGTTTCTCTTTGGAGTTCTGCAGCTAAGAATGGTGCACACCCTTGCCCGCCACATCAGTTTGGCTACCACAGAAGTTGAAAGAGGAGGACAAAGCTGAGAAAATCTTTGCCTTTCATGTGTACATGAACACAATTCGGCCTCTGCATGGCCCCATTGTTGACAAGACAACTATGAAACACCACCCCATTAGTGTTTCACTAACCTAGCTGAAACGCTTTGTTGTTGCTGTCTCACAAGAAAGTGCTTAGAAATCCTCTCCAACCTTTTCTTTCTGCAATTTCACTTCAAAGTATTTGAAAAATATTCTAGAAGTATTCGATTAAGATTAGAAAAATATACGTTTCGATTCACACTCACACTTAAATATTCGAATTCGCTTCACACCTAAAATTTTGCTATTAACACAGCTCTAATTATTATCCTTTTTCTTTAGCAAACCATGTTCTTTTCTTCACACCTATAATTTTGACAGTATCTATAAATAAACAAAAATACAGTAATGATATTCTTGTACAGAACAAGTGTACAGAAATCAACAGACAACTGCCTTGAGATGCCCATTTTAACATTCCGTCAAACACAGCCACTGCTAACTGCAATACTTTTGTGTGACAGTGGCAGAGGAGCTGGCATGATGCCCAACACTGAAGCCACACTGTTTCAGTTCATATTTTGTCTCCTGAGGGTCCTCACCGAATTGATGATCCTGTTCTGATGTATTTGCAACATCAGAAGTCTACTTTTCATGTGTAGTTTAGAAGAAACACATTACTCGCAGTGTACTCACATCATCACTGAGCAGCTCGATGAAGTTTGATGGACGATATTTTTCTACCCAGAGCGATGCCTTCCCGGATGATGCTCGCTGAAGGCCAGGGCCACCGCCGCTTTCACCAACCAGCACACCTTCCGGAAGCGAATTCATCTCATGATTCTCAGTGATGTTGGCCGTGTGCTCAGCCTCTGCTTGCTTTTGCCGCTCAAGCTGCAAGACAATGATCTCATTTAAGTCCTTACCTCGGAGATGAAAAAGTGACCCAGATAAATGAAGGCACTAAATGCTTCTGTGATAACTTGTTCCCATTTTTTTTTTTTCAGCAATCACAACACAACCAGGTGCAAGCGATATGCACTACAACACGCAATATGCTGACATAGGCAACATTAATTATACCTGGGATTTTATGTGCCGAAACCGAACTATGATTATGGAGCCCGCCACAGTTGAGGGGTCCAGATAATTTGACCATCTCGTGTTTTTCAACGTGCAGTGACGTAGCACAATACACCCTAGCCTTTCACCTCCATTGAGATGCGACTTCAGCAGCTGGGATCGAACCCGTGACCAAGCAACCAAGCACTTGGTTGCTTGGTTGCAGGTCAGCAGCTAAGCAACCGCTACACTACCACAACAGACAATAAGGCAACAATAAAGCAAGCATTTAAATTGAAATAATGTGGCATGCTTATGCAGACAAGAGGCACATAATTTTTTTTTTCAGGACATGCTCCATAAAAAATCATCATCACCATCATCAGCCTGACTACGCTCACTGCAGGGCAAAGGTCTCTCCCACGATCCGCCAATAAAGCCGGTCTTGTGCTTTCCGTTGCCTCATTATACCTGTGAACTTTTTAATCTAATCGGCTTACCTAAATTTCTGTCTCCCCTTCGTGCATTTGCCTTCTCAGGGAATCCAGTAAGTTACCCTTAGTGACCAGCGGTTATCCTGCCTACATGCTACATGCCCGGCATGTCCATTTCTTTTTCTTGATTTCAACAATGATATCTTTAACCCCGGTTTGTTCCCTGATCCACTCTGCTCTCTTCTTGTCTCTTAAGGTTACACCTATCATTTTCTTTTCTACCGCTCGCTGCATCGTCTTCAATTTAGGCTCAATCCTCTTTGTAAGCCTCCAGGTTTCTGCTACGTAGGTAAGTACTGGCAAGATGCAGCTGTTATATACCTTCCTCTTGAGGGTTAGTGGCAGCCCCGCCACGGTGGTCTAGTGACTAAGGTACTCGGCTGCTGACCCGCAGGTCGCGGGATCGAATCCCGGCTGCGGCGGCTGCATTTCTGATGGAGGCTGAAATGTTGTAGGCACGTGTGCTCAGATTTGGGTACACGTTAAAGAACCCCAGGTGGTCGAAATTTCCGGAGCCCTCCACTACGGCGTCTCTCATAATCATATGGTGGTTTTGGGATGGTAAACCCCACATATCTATCTATAATAGGCTGTGTAAAAATTAACCATCACTTTTTGATTAACTTCGTAGGTCTACACATAACACTTTAGGCCTGCCATTTAGGCCTGCCATTGCTTCCCCAACACTGCAAGCAATTGTGAAAAGTTTGCTTAGCTCACATTTATAACAAACATACTGAGCCTTCATGTCATTACTCATACTTTTTTATGACACTTGTGCAAAATAAGCACAAGATGACTGACAAAGTTTTCCCACAGCTGTCCTTGCTTTCCTTTCTTCAGGTGTAAATATTTATTAAAAACACTGTGCACTCCCTTCTCTCGCACAAGGAATCAGGCTAGAATAAAGAAATCCTATTCAGTTTGTACATCTTGCAGTTTTAGGCAGCCCTCCTTGTATGACAAACCAAACCCATCAAACAGTACAAGCTCTGGCAAAAATGATGAAGTGCCTTTAGAATGGAAGCTTCAGCCACATGACTGAATATGCGGGTCTTATAATAAAGCTCAACTCATCAGTCAACAGATGACATGCACCACAAAAGGAGATTTCTTTGTACTAAATTTTAAATTACTGAATTAAGCAACTTGCATTTGTTCCGCCTGCTCTGTTATCGTTTATACATTAAACTCTGGAGTGATTTATCAGCTTGAAGTCATTATGCAGGGCATACAAGTTTTGTATGCAGCCAAACAATGAGGCAAATAAAAAAAGCCTTACCTCTGCCTGTGCATCAAGCCATACATCCCAGAAAGGCCTGGACAGGAGGTTTCCTCTCGGTCGATTAGTGGACAGCAGAAGCTGAAAATATGCAGAGGAAGAAAGAACAGATGCAGCAAATGTAAAAAATTAAAAAACAAATAAAAAGAAACCTTACAACTGAATTATATACAATACCGAAGGTGCATTCTATTAAAAGTCGAACATCTGAGTAGTATTGTCAGTTTGCTGAACATACAATACCGAAGGTGCATTCTATTAAAAGTCGAACATCTGAGTAGTATTGTCAGTTTGCTGAACAACGCCAAATGAAGGAATGGCTTCAGCATTTTCCTTCACACAAAGGGAAGAAGACAACAATGTTCTGAAGCACTGCCTGTGTTAGATCAGTTTGCCCACCTGGAAAAGTACATCAAACGGACTTCTAGACGGCCTGTTCCTTACCCTCCACGGCACAAAACATGGCTGCCAGATGCACTCGACACCGCATCTATGGCAGTGGTGGCAACTACTACTCCTGGAGCCTCTGTAAAAGGAACTACAGACCATGCTCCTGAGAACAAGAGACTACGAGACAAACAAGACGACTCCGATCCTTCGGATGAAAATGCAGAGGATATGAGCCACGCATACTTCACAGTTGTATCCTACAAAAAAAAAAAAAAAAAAAAAAAAAAAAAAGAGGTACTGGTGTTCCTGTTGTCTTCAGGCCTACCAAGGATGGAGGAAGCTTATGGAAAGTTAACCGTAACACTGTTGCATCAGCCGTTGTAACGTCTGCTCAAGAGAAAATTCTCAACCATCGCCTCAACAAGGACGGAAGCCTGATGGTCACAGTGTCGACCCTGCTGGCTGCCAACCGTCTACCAACGGTGACTGAATTAGCAGGCGTACCTGTGGAAGCCCGAATCCCATACTCTTACACAGCAAACTATGGGAAAATAGAAGATGTCCTTCTGAGTTACTCAAATGAAGACTTACAAGACTATCTACATGATCAGGGTGTCATGTCGGCAAGAAGACTCACCAGCTACACACCCGGAGATTGCGGCAAGGTCAAAAAGATATGTCGTCGATCTGTTATTTTGGAATTCGCCAAGAATTCACCACTACCTAAACGAGTTACGCTTGGGTTCTGTAGCTACCCAGTGGCCGAGTACGTCGGGGCAGCTATACAGTGTTATAAATGCCAGAGGCATGGTCATATATCGGGACATTGCAATGGCCCTGTGCACTGCAAAGTCTGTGCTGGTCCTCATTCACACAAAGAGTGTACCTCAAGAGCACAACCTAAATGTGCTAACTGCAGTGGTCCCCACCCTGCTTCATATGGAGGGTGTGTTAAAAAGAAGGCTGTTACACTTGCACGCTCATCAGAGCAAACACAAGGGAAACCACCAAGGCGCAATGAACCACTGCCTAATCCAGAAGTTGTATTCACGAATATAAAAGACTTCTCCCAGGAAAGATCATCACAAAGCCGAAAGACATCTGGTGACACATACGCTGATGTGACGAAAAAGAAATGCGGAAAGCCGACTGGCACATTGCATCTTTCAAAACCACCACAAAGCGTCTCACAACATTGAGTGGTCAAGTACAGCTGACACCAGTCAAAGCCACCGCAACACGACAGGGGGATCTACGAAAGGCAACAACACGGAAACACAGACCAAGATTTTGCACGCATATTGATTCCGATGCTATTCACAGCTCTCAAAGCGGTTCTCCGTGTAAATCCTTCGTCAAGATCTCCCAGAGGTAGAAGCAATTCTTACAATAGAGCCATTGGTGTCGACGTCTTACGCTCCACAGGGGCATTCTCCCTCGCAGTAGTAGTCATGGCTCCCCAACGATATCTTCACCTCCATTTCCTCTTCTTTATTTCAACTATGATATCCTTAACCCCCGTTTGTCCCCTAATCCACTCTGCTCTCTTCTTGTCTCTTAAGGTTACACCTACCATTTTTCTTTCCATTGCTCGCTGCCTCGTCCTCAATTTAAGCTGAACCCTCTTTGTAAGTCTCCAGGTTTCTGCTCCGTAGCTAAGTACTGGCAAGATACAGCTGTTATATACCTTCCTCTTGAGGGATAGTGGCAATCTACCTGTCATAATTTGAGAGTGCTTGCCGAATGTGCTCCACCCCATTCTTATTCTTCTAGTTACTTCAATCTCGTCGTACGGCTCTGCGGTTATTACCTGCCCCAAGTATACATAGTCTTTTACAACTTCAAGTGCACTATTACCTATCTCGAAGTGCTGCTCCTTTCCGAGGTTGTTGTACATTACTTTCGTTTTCTGCAGATTAATTTTAAGACCGACCTTTCTGCTCTCCTTGTCTAACTCCGTAATCATGAGTTGCAATTCGTCTCCTGAGTTACTCAGCAATGCAATGTCATCAGCGAAGCGCAGGTTACTAAGGTACTCTCCAGTAACTCTTATCCCTACCTGTTCCCATTCTAGGCTTCTGAAAACCTCCTGTAAGCACGTGGTAAATAGCATTGGGGAGATTGTGTCCCCCTGCCTTACCCCCTTCTTGATTGGTATTCTCTTGCTTTCTTTATGAAGCACTATGGTAGCAGTTGATCCCCTGTAGATTTCTTCCAGAATGTTAATACATATATACTTCATCTACGCCCTGATTCCGCAGTGTCTGCATGACAGCTGATATTTCTACTGAATCAAACGCCTTCTCGTAATCTATGAAGGCTATGTATAGTGGTTGGTTATACTCTGAGGATTTCTCTATTACCTGGTTGATAGTATGAATGTGGTCAACTGTTGAGTAGCCTGTTCGAAATCCTGCTTGTTCCTTTGGTTCATTGAATTCCAATGTTTTCTTTACTCTGTTAGCAATTACCTTTGTAAATAGCTTGTATACTACAGAGAGCAAGCTGATCGGCCTGTAATTCTTCAAGTCCTTGTCATCTCCTTTCTCATGTATTAAGATGATGTTAGTGTTCTTCCAAGACTCTGGTACTCTTCCCGTCAGGAGACACCTCGTAAACAGGGTGGCTAGTTTTTCTAACACAATCTGTCCTCCATCTTTCAGCAGATCTGATGTTACCTGATCCTCACCAGCAGCTTTGCCTCTTTGCATGCTCTCCAAAGCTTTTCTGACTTCTTCTATCATTACTGGTGGGGTGTCATCTGGGTTACTGCTAGTTCTTATAGTATTAAGGTCGTGGTTGTCTCCGCTACTGAACAGATCTCTGTAAAACTCTTCTGCTATTTTAACTATCCTATCCATATTGCTACTTATTTTGCCTTCTTTGTCCCTTAGTGCATACATCCGACTTTTGCCTATCCCAAGTTTCCTCTTCACTGCTTTGACGCTTCTTCCGTTTTTCAGAGCGTGTTCAATTCTCTCCATGTTATACCTTCTTACATCGCATACCTTACGTCTATTAATCAACTTTGAAAGCTCTGCCAGTTCTATTTTGTCTGTTGTACTTGACACTTTCATGATTTGACACTACTTAATTAGGTTCTTCGTTTCCTGGGAAAGCTTGCCAGTGTCCTGTCTAACTACCCTGCCTCCAACTTCCACCGCACACTCCGTAATAATACTCGTCAGATTATCATTCATTGTATCTACGCTAAGGTTGGTTTCCTCACTAAGAGCCGAGTACCTGTTCTGCAGCGACACTCTGAATTCCTGTACTTTCCCTCTCAGTGCTAGCTCATTGATTGGCTTCTTGCGTATCAGTTTCTGTCGTTCTTTCTTCAAGTCTAGGTGAATTCGAGACCGTACCCTTCTATGGTCACTGCATTGTACCTTGCCAACCACTTCCACATCCTGCACGATTCCTGGGTGTACACTCAATATAAAGTCTATTTCGTTCTTATTTTCGCCAGTAGAGCTCCTCCATGTCAACTTGCGGTTTTCTCGTTTTCGGTAGAAGGTATTCAAAATCCGTAAATTATTGCGTTCTGCGAATTCTACTAGTAGCTCCCCTCTGGTGTTTCTAGTACCGATGCCATAATCTCCTACTGCCTGGTCTCCAGCCTGCTTCTTCCCTACCTTTGCATTGAAGTCGCCCATCACTATAGTATACTGTGTTTTTACCTTATTCATTGCCGATTCCACGTCTTCATAGAAGCTTTCAACTGAAGCGTCATCATGGCTGGATGTAGGCGCGTAAGCCTGTACTACCTTCATCTTGTATCTTTTATTCAGTTTAATTACGATACCTACCACCCTTTCATTAATGCTATAGTATTCCTCTATGTTGCCAGCTATGTTTCTGTGAATTAGGAACCCCACTCCCAGTTCTCTTCTGTCTGCCAAGCCCCGATAGCAAAGGACGTGCCCATTCTGTAGCACCGTATAGGCCTCATCTGTCCTCCTAACCTCACTGAGCCCTATTATATCCCATTTAACACCCTCCAGCTCCTCGAATAGTACAGCTAGACTTCCCTCACTAGATAAGGTTCTAGCGTTAAACGTTGCCAAGGTCAGGTTCCAATGGCGGCCTGTCCAGATCCAGAGATTCTTAGCACCCTCTGCTGCGTTGCAGATCTGACCGCCGCCGTGGTTCATAACAATAACAGGTAAACAGGAATACACCCCCATCGGAGTATACCTGGAACCAGGCAGGCCTTTCGACGCTTGAAAACTTGATTTCAAGAACACTTTCCGCACACATCATTTGTGGAGACTTCAATGCCCACAATAAAATTTGGGGCAGCTCACACACTTGTTCTCGAGGAGCTAAGCTTGCAGAGCTGCTCTCAAAACGTTCAATTGAATCTCTAAATGACGGCAGCATCACCTACCTACGAGGCACCACGACTACCAGCAGCATCGACGTGACCTTCGCAACAAATTCAGTCGCTCGCAACTTTGACTGGTGCACCGACTTGGAAATGCATGGGAGTGATCACTACCCAATCATGATATCAACTGCTGGTGCAAATATGACATCAAGGAGAACTGCCATGAAATCCACAAATTGGAATGCATACAAAGACGCAGCAAGAAAAGGAATCACTGCTGCTACAAAGGATGATGAATTACTCGCTACGATGGCTCATTGCCTAAAAGAATGCACACATGTTCCAACTAAAAACGACAGGT